TAACTGACGAGAAAACATAGTACTCTTTGAACGAATTAGAAAGACTCTTCTAGACCTCTCCTTTCTGTTCTTTCTTTGCCTATTGCGTAGGAGGGAAAGTTACTGGGATTTGATTCTTTTCTTTTTTCTTTCTTCTTTTTTCCTTTTCTTACTCCCTTTGAATTACTTCAACTCTTTCCATATAGGATAACGTTCATTTTTGAAAAATAAAAGACGAGAAAGATAGTCTCTGATTACTTGTCGATTTCTTTCAATCTTTCGTAGTCTAAATTAAGAAGGAAAAAAAAGAGAAGAAAAAGAAGATAGAAGAGACTGTTTCCTATTTCGTAGGAATTTCTACTGTCGGTGAAATTGGAAAGATGATGGTAAAGCAGAAGAAGGAAAAAAAATATAGTGGAATAGAGGATTCGCGATCCTCTTTGTCTCTGGATCGAATAGAACAGCACGAAGAGTCGTGAGCACGAAGAGACAAGCTCTTCTCTTCGGCTCACCATTAGGGCTAATGAGTTCTTTGACGATGGAAAATAAAAGAACGTTTTTCGCGCGACTACTTCCGCCTTTCTGGGACCTGAAAATCTAGAAAGAGTGCCACCGATTCTCTCTCTTTCTCTCTCTCTCTCTCTTTTCTTGAGTTTCACAAACGAATCCTTCTACCATAATGATAACGGACGTGTAAGTACGTATTCTTGGAAAAGGAAAATGCAAACGTTTGTGATATCTATTCTTTGAGCCACGTTTTTAAATTTATTGCCTCTATATCGCGAAACGTGCTTTTATCATTCCTTCATCAGTCAAATGTTTTAATTAAGTTAGCATTAAATATCGTTTACGTGGCTTTTTGATTTGCTTATTTTTTTGTTCTCTCTCTCTCTCTCTCTCTCTCTCTCTCTCTCTCTCTCTTCTTTCTTTTCTTTTAAGCGTATATAACATTTCGATGTTTTTCTACACGATAAATGAGAAATTTCTTCGTGCTCTACTCTCTCGATCAAATAATAAAACTTTTTTCATCATCGTCATCATCATTTTCATCATCATCATCATCATCATCGTCGTCGTCATCATAATTATCATCATCATTATCGTTATCAAAGACAGTTAATATAATGATCTTAATGCAAGTTGAATTCACCTGGACGGATGTATGATAAAATGTGAGCATACATAAAGGTAATTCAAAGAAATATGTATTATTAAACGTATACAGGTTAGAAGCAATTACAATCGTCTCAGTAACATTATGGGTATATATGTACGTGGTAGTAGCAGTCAGTCATGTTCTAAACATACGCGAAGAAGGTATACCGATTCAGTACGTCTCTCCAGTAAAATATAGTACGCTAGGATTATCTTAAATTACTGTCAGACAGTTGATTTATAAGGAAGACTGATCGTATACGAATGTACTTCACGAAAGTTCCGAAATGTGATCGTATATATGTATGTATGTATGTAGTTACATTGTACGAAGGATCGTTCAGATTCACTATCGGATCGATCTGTTTCATTACGTCGAAGTGCAGTTTACCGGATAAGCTTAATGAGCCGGATAAACTTCTCTCTACGAATGAAGTTGCTCGAAGTAACGCGTAAAAGAAGAAAGAACATCATGTCGCCAAGCAGAAATGTTTTTGCTGAACGAATGATGTAATTCGAAAGCTATGTTCGACGTAGTCGTTCTTCAGATAAAACAATTACGTGTTAACATTTCCACGCTAAAAATAAGTCTGCTTGAAGTCGTATAATCAAACTGAAATCAAGCTGGACTCGAGATGCTTTGTCGTTTTAAAGTTTAATCAAACTGTGTATGTGTGTATGCGTGTATTTGTTTGTATGTATATGGGTAGATAGGAAACATCGTTTTCACGATTCGGTGAACGAAACATAAACATAATAAGCGTAACATAGAGTAATTAACATTTTCTAGAGACTCTATAGGAAATATTTAATCGAATTATACGAGCGTATTAAATCGATTCGTGGAATCAACGAACTTAACGATCCCAAGGGGGTCCATCTTCGTTTCACAGAGGTCACGGACCCACCATATCAATGTACCTTCTCGTATCTCTCTCTCTCTCTCTCTCTCTCTCTCTCTCTCTCTCTAGATTTACAGTAGATGTGTGCAACGTTGTTAGAAATATCGTTTCCCATGTAAAGAAAGAAGGAAAGAAAGAAAAAGATAGAGAAAGACTATGGTGGTCCTTAGTGTAGAGCGATTCACCGACGTACTGAAACGGCTTCCTTCCTTCGGCGTATCGAGCTAAGTTAATTCCAGGGTAGAGCTAATTATCGCCAGGAGTCGAGATGTTACCAACCGGGTGTATTAATGATCTCGAATATCCGTGAAATCGGCCTCGAAGAAGGAAACACCGTTTTATTTAGCCGTGCCTCGATAATCCACACCGGCAAAACATGCTGGAGTATCGTCGATTACGATTGCGATTCTAGAGAGGGAGGGAGAGAGAGAAAGAAAGAGAGAGAGACGAAGATAGTAGAGATAGAGAAAGGAGAGAGAGAGAGAGAGAGAGAGACAAAGAAAGAGAGGAGAGAAAGAGGAGAGGGAACTGGTTGTACAACGTGAGAGACTCGCCTCGATGAATCACCTGTACTATCGTCATGCTTGTTCCTTATTGCCTCATGAGTACTAAATCTATCGGTATTGTACGAAGGTCGTTCGAGAAACTAACTTGAAAAACGTCACCGTTGATGAAAATAGTATAGATTTCGTTGTAGAAAGTGGAATAATTTTATAATGTTATTAGATGAGATATTGCCCTTTTTATTTTTTCAAATATCCTGCGTAAAACTTTTAATTAGAGTACCTTTAGAGTTTGATCGATCGAAAAAAGTAATAATAGCTTTCAAAGTGTCTCTTCTTTAGAAAGTCACATATAATACATATTTGCTTAAGAGAGTAATACGATATCTTATTTCGTTTTTTGTTTATTCGTCAAAATCGTCTTCTTGCTTTGTATCACGCGAATACCATCGTGGACACCTGACGACACTGTTTTCTAAGTTATACGAGCCTTCTTCGTAACAATATTTTTATAAATTATTATTAATATTTTCAATGGAATTTTTCTTTCTGTCTCCCTCTCTCTCTCTCTCTCTCTCTCTCTCTCTCTATATATATATATATATATATATATATATATATATCTTTGATTTCTCTCATTCTCAGGTTATTAGACTTTCTAAAAACAATTTTCAAAGAGAGCCACCCACGTAGAAAACTACGCACTTTTATTCGATCAATAATATTTCAATAAATCATCGAACCACCTAAATTGACCTTCCGTAACTCTACTAGAAGTATTTTCAAGACTCATGAAACGTCGACGTTTTCTTCTACACCATCCTTGATCCTTCGGATGACCGCGATCGAGGCCAAAAATATCGATCCGAAATAGCGTCGTCTCTTTGTGTCTCCACGTATATATATATATATATATATATATATATATATATATATATATATATATACATAACATACCTAGTATATATCAGTTTCCCTATCGTTTTCATTCGCGTCTTCGAATCATTAAGATTCGAGTACGACCAATGGAATCTTATTTTCCGCCGTAAATATCGAGCAAACTCGTAGAGACGACACGAGTACGTAAAGTCCCTCGTAATTTGTCCGTTCGCGCACGCGTTGCGATCTGTTAAAATGTGCATGCACCGGGGACAACACTTCGAATCGAGCATTTCTTATCGCTCAATGCGAGTCGTGATACGTAAACTTTGCAAGTTATAGACGTCGTTTATGTCAAAGTAGACGTTGAATCCTTCTTCGCGAAACAAAGGATCGTCAGCGGGAAGCGATTTAACGAAAAGAAAAGAAAAAAAAAGAAAAAGGAAGAAAAAAGTAAAAAAAGAAAAGGGGGGAAAGATAAAATATATAGCAATAGCTTCATCGCAAGTTTAACGCATGTATCTCCATACTTTTAATAGCATTAAAATATGTGCTGATTAACGATAAAAACATTGATAAGCGAAGTCGCTCATGGAATATAAGTATCCTAATTATTATTGAATGCGTTTATTACGTTATCGTGCTTATGTATTTGCGTCATGGCTAGAGAAGACAACGGTTATCGTTATCGATATTACCTAATTTATCTTGGCATTGAAAGCTGCACCGACTTATTAGAGGATCGATAATATAAGCGCTTGCATATAACCAAAGAGAGAAGAAGAAGAAGAAGAAAGAGACAGAAATAAAGAGAGAGAGAGAGAGAGAGAGAGAGAGAGAGAGGGAAGGATTAACTCTGACCCTCTCTTTCTCCGCGTTGCCGCTTCTCTTTCGCTTGGAAACCTATAAATTATACATTCCATTATTCATGCTGGCTCGCCATAATCATGTAAGATGGTTGACAAGATCCCATCGCGTCCTACCGTATCTCGTGTTTCCTCTCTCACAGAAATAATCATCGTTGTTTCTCCAAATAAAAATATTTTCTTTTTCTTAAAGAATAATTTTTCAATTCAACCAGCTAAAACAATTGTTTCTGGCTAATCTCAAGGCGACCCTCGGTAACAACCACAAGCTACTGCTAGGAAATTATTTATCAAAATCGTCTCGGTCGGCAGCTGCAACGAAATGCAAACAGGCGAAAATTCCAAAGAGAATTCTGAACAGCCTTTTAAAGAGACGCTAGTATCGATCGTAGTCGTAGACTCTCGTCTCTTGGTAAGATGGACTAAAAAGATATAAAGTATATATATATACCTAGGAAGATCGCGTTAATTCGTCACATCGAAATCGAGAGAAGGAGAGAGAACGAAAGAGAAGTTAAGGAACGATTTGCGGAGTCATCGCACGATACGATAAGAAAAAAAAGATGAGTGGAGTAGGAATAGTGGAAAGAGGATGAGGAGGATGAGGAGAAGGAGGAGATGAAGGAGGAGGAGAAGAGAGACAAGGAGAAGGAAAAATAAGAAGAAGAAGAAGAAGAAAACAACGAGAACGCGCGTCTAGAAGAAAAAGGAGAAATCGGGGAGGGTTCGTAGTTCGCGCGAAAACGTTCGGTAATGTTCGGTAGACTTCGGATACATTCGGTGTCGCCGGCGAGTGTTGAACCCCCACTTCGGTGGCGTATCGTACGGCAGAAGGAAGAGTGGGGAGTCGGCGTTCGGCGGATCGCCGTTCAATCGTCGTTCGATCGTCGCGCGAGGTGGTTGCGTGCTGAAAAGCTCGCACGGCTGTAAGGCGCGTGCCTCGGTTAATACGAGATATATACAGTGTACAACTCGCCCTCGTCGTGAGCACGTTTATTCTTTTTCGTCCTGTTACGAAGGAAAATTATCTACGGAATAACTAGGAGGAAAACTAACTACAACCGCTTCCGTTCTTTGGAAACCTTATATCAATAGAAGACAGAAGGAGAGCAGGTGGTGGTGTATATAAGGCAAAAGAAGAAGAAAAGAGATGTCTTCTCCTCGTTCGAGATCCGTTCTTCGCGACAGTGACGTGATGTCTCCTCGTTCCTTGTTACGCTGACGCCGCGCGTAGAAAGGTCTTCGTGAGAAAACGTGGTGACGGAGCGCGTTATTTTTCCTCGATTTTGTTTTATATCGTTCTTTTGTGCATTCGGATATTAATTTCTAGTTAAGGTCAACGCGCGTCCAATAAACGAGTATACGTCTGTACATATATACGTATACATATACATATACAAATATTTATACGTTTAACGTATAGCCGGCTGTGATCGGTTTATTTAGAAAAGTGCGTTGTTTCCGGTTCGGCTACGATACTCGCTTCGTTTCTCGTGCCACGAGGTCGACGGATTTATTTTGTCCCTTTTGTAACTTACTTTCTGTGCCACGGAAGAGACATACCAATATACATACACACATATACGAACCATACACATATACGCACGCACGCACGCACGCACGATAAACTACACGACCCACACGCATATATTGTCGTCGTGCGGTAAATACACACACAGCGAAACGCGCGCGCGCGCGCGCGCGTATCTAGACGACGTAGCAACGTACACACGAGGAAAGATTCTTAGGAGTCGCGCGGCGCCATGACCGCGGACGGCCTGTTCGAACCTACCAGCATCCCGGGGCACCTCGCTCCCACGCCCGAGAGACTGGAGAGGCTTCTCTCGAAGCAGACCCTCGAGGAGCTCTACGAAGTCGAGGAACAGCCTTTCGCACGGTAAGTGAGCGACACCAACCGATTCGAGACTCTTCTTCCTCTTTCTCATCGTACACGAGACATCGTGCTTCCTTGTCCTCGAAAATAGTGAAAATCAGAGGAAATATTCTCGTTTCTCTCTTCTTCAATCGGTTTTTCAAAACTTTATTAGAATCTTTGAATTCCATCCTCCTCTTAACGTTCTTAAAGCCTCCTTTTTTTCTTTTATTCTTTTTTCTTTTTTTTCCTATTTTTCTTTCTTTCTTCTTTTTTTTTTTTTTTTAACTTTTTCTCCTTTTTCCAATTCGAAAAATTAAACTGAAAATTATCGCGATTGCTCCAATCACAAGATATCGAAATCGCAATGTAACCTCTAAATAATCCGTTTATTCTTTTATACGAATGAAAAAAGAGAGACATTCGTGATTAGAAATTATTACAAAAGTCTTTACATATATATATATATATATATATATATATATATATACATAATACATATATATATACATATATATATATATATATATATATACATAATACATATATATATACATATATATATATATATATATATATATATATATATATAATTATTTCAGGTTAATATTTTGGACGAATAACGTTGTGCGAATAAGGAAAGGAGAAACTTTTATGTAGAAAGGATTATTGAAAGTGTCGTAAAATAAGAGTGACGTAATTTCTCCGTTGGTCGAAACGCCTTCGAAAGTCGTTCCGAATATCGTTTTCTCGACCACGAAGAATAATTCCGTTTGATTAGAGCCTCCCTGGGACCGACCCATCGGCATTTTGGGATTCGACGATGAGAAAACTTGTTCCTACCGTGAGATCGAGGTCGAACCTTTGCGTGCCGATATTATTTTACGACCTACGCCCTCCAACCTTTTTCCTCTTTCTCTCTCTCTCTCTCTTTCTTTTTTTTCTCCCTCGTTTCTCCTTACCATCCTTCCTACCACCCTTTCTTACCTTCTTTTCGCCTCCGGTCCAGCGTTCTCCGACACAAGAAACGAAAAAGTAATAAAAAAACAAGAATAAAGAAGCTTATCTCGAAATGTTCCTATTAGCCTTACTCATTCGTGGTGCAAACATTATAAATTGACCGTTCGTTGTAATTTTCTTTTTCTCGCACGTTGCGAAATCGATGAAATCGTAGATAGCATCGATGTCGTTAGGGTCTCGGTCGGGCCTAGGTCATGGATGACGCGTTCTTTACTTGGATGCAAGATTAGAGAAGCTAGAAAAGTGCGACTTTGTTAGACTCGTCTCGTTGCAACGATTGGACGATATTAAAACCAAATGCACATTTAACGTATTAAACGATGAACAAAACAAGAGAGGATTTCGCTTTGTAATTTAATTTTCTTCGTACAAATATTTTAATTTATTTTACTTTCTGATTCTTTGCAATGTTATTTTCAAGCCATTATATATATACATGTATACATACGTAAGCTGCTGACAAAGAAAACATGATCGCGAGAGAGTATTATAAAAAAAAGTGCTGATATATACTTACGTATATCTCAAGCACGTAAAAAATATTTGTTTGTCTCCTTTAAATAACAAACTTCGACAGTTCTCAATATTAAGATGAAAGCCGTATTACGGTCACGACCAATCGCGCATTCACCCTCGATTTACTCGAGTGCCATTTTCATTCGCGATCCTTTTGTTCGACGATTGCCTATAGTAAGTATCTGCATAACTCTCCGGAAGAAACTCTCGGTGATGTTATATCTACATATATTGATAATGTTGTATGTATTTATGTATGAACGACATTCATCGTTATATTCAACAAAAAAAAAAAAAAAAAAAAAAGGAAATAACAAGTTCGTTCGAAATATCAAATACACAGATACATATTTTAAATTAATCCGTATAGAATGTAAATCTTTCACTAAACTTTTAACTTGAAACGTTAAGAAAATCTTGAAATAACGTAGGATACGGATATTATGTTAGATAAGCGATTAGATTATAGATTAGATTAGTTTATTATAGATTAGACATGATATATATTATATATTATATATATATATAAAATGGCTGTGTTCTACGTTGATTCTATGAAAAGGGGAATTATGTACTACTAACAAAGAAGGAAGCTAACAAGTCCTTCGTACAATATCAAATGCCGCGACTGTATATATATATAATTACTTTTCTACCTTCACCCACATGAGATATATTGTTAATGCATTTTGCTTAACGACCGGACGCATTCGAGTTCTTCCGCAACGACGTTAATTATTACAAAGATTTATGCTGCCGTCAATCATGAGCGTTCAGAACAGAACGTTGGAAAGAAAAGTATCGTGTAATAACGTTTGCACCACCGACCACTTGGGTTCGTCTCTTAGAAACTTTTACCGGAAGACTTAGCCTTTTGATTAGTGTTCGCGAGCGTTTATGTAAAATAGAGGCAGGATGGAGGAGAAAAAAAAGAAGTCACTACATTCGGGTATAGACGATCACAGTAGAGATACCATGTACTTAGATTCACAGGTGCCCCTATAACATTGAGTTGATCCTACGAGTTTAGCATTTAAATCAATGGATCTTTCTTTGTTTTCATCGTTGTTGTATAAAATTTCCTGGTGAATTATTCGTGAGATTAATTAATTCAAGGTCGTCGAGTCGAGAAACTCAAATAAGAGAGTCTTTCGAGTCGCAAACTCGAACGTTCGATTTTCTTTCCATCGAGGTTATCTTTTTTTAGTAGTCGCACGTCAAGAAAGAGAAAGAGAAAGAAAGAGCGAGTATCGAAGCACGTACAATAAACTAGAGATAAGGAGTGGTCTTGAGAGGCATTTCACTATAGCTGCTCGATCTTGAGACTCGAATCGTCAGAGCGACGCCATAAACGTCCGTAAGAAAAGGGGTCTCTGGCATAAATATTATGGCTATATCGTACTACGCTACGTTATTCTCGCGAAATGTAAATAAACCGAAGCCCGCGTTCCGTGGTCACCAATTAAGTGGTCTGTTGCCTGTGAAATCGATACCTGTGCCTCCGTTCATGGAACGTTCATGGAACAATCTTTATTGGCCGAGTTTTGCATTCGCTGACTTCCTTTGGATTCTTGAACGATCATTATTTGCGTTTCCGATTCCTTTTCTTCGACCCCTTCCTCTCTCTCTTTCTTTCTCTACGATCTCTCCTTTGCAAATGAGCGACGACGCGATGAAACTCTTTTCTTATGTCCTCGGAGACTATCGACTCTCCATATTGCTAGAAAAACGAAATAAGAAAATTATTTTACGGACTCTTTACGAGAGAGATCTTTTACTATATTCTACAATACCCGCATAAACTCGCGTCGATCTTTATCGTCTCGTTATCTATCTCTCTCTTTCCCTGTCTATATCATTTTCTTTCTCTTTCTCTCTCTTTCTCTCTCTTTCTCTATCTCTCTCTCTCTCTCTCTATCTCTCTCTCTCTCTCTCTCTCTCGCATTCTCTCTCAATAGAATAGCACCCACTTTAAGATTATTCTCAGAACAATTCCACGTTATCGCGTTCGAAGTAGAGGAAAATTTCTTATTACGAATAAATAAGATCTACGGAGAAATTTTATTCTTTGTATCATACTATGCCTATTTATTTAAGTACTTACTAAAATTTTTATGCAATGGAATAATAGGTAGACGTTCTATGAAATTTGTATTCATTGATAATACTAACTCATTAATAAAAATAATGTCTCTCTCTTCTCTTTCTCCTTACTCTTCTCTCTCTCTCTCTCTCTCTCTCTCTCTCTCTCTCTCGCTTTTTTTCTCTCACTACTCTATCAGTATGTGTATGTGTGTATTTTGTGTACGTGTGATAAAGAAAAAAGAAAACGCCTTTGCAGCCACCAGCGTGCCTTCAGTTTGTGTCTTGCGAGATACACTCGCATGATTTATTCATTAACCTCATCGCGCGCGAGGGTGTCACGGTAGACACCCGCTATTCCGGAGCGGAACATCACGGAGCGATCTTCACGAAGTTTTTTAACGTTCTCCAAGCGCGTCGTCTTTTCACTTGAAAAAAAAAAAGGAAAAAAGAGAGAAAGATAAATATTGATTAAATAGAGATAGAAAGAGAAGAAACGGTACTCTTGCAAAGATCTTTATAGATTCTACTATCGACGCGTTATCCCGCGTGGACGCTTTTGAATTACGATGACGCACAGTGCAACAGCAACGTCGTCGTCTTTCTTGTGTGTGTGTATGTGTTTGCGCATGTATGTATGTATGTGTGTATGTATGTATGTATGTATGTATGATGTATGTATGTATATACGTATACATGTATGCATGTATAATACGTGACCAGCTCTCGCCTTGTTGTTTCGTTCTTTCTCCGATATAAGAAAATCATCCGTGCGGAATGTAGACGTGAAATTTTTGTTTCGAAGGTAACACGATGTTAGACGTAAACTTCCACGTGTTGAATGTTACGAACGTGAGTCACTACAAAATTTCTCATCGTTGTGAAACTATTTTATCTATCTAAACGTAGGTAGGAAAGGAAGTAGAAATGGAGTAGAGTGGACTGGAGTGAAATGGATTAGCGGAAAAGAAGAAGAAGAAGAAGTGGGGAAGAAAGTAATCTTATATACGATAGAGATGGGAAATAATCAATGATCTTTGAAGTATAAGATCTTGCAATGTTCTATCTCGAGTCTCGAAAACTTCTCGACAATCGAGATTAACCCAGAATATGAATTACACGGCAGGAAGGATATTGTTGACACGGATGGTCACCGATACATCTCTTTCATAGTTTATTGGGTTTATAGGTAGTATTCTAACGGGACGAACGAACGAATGAAATAAGGAACGAACGAACGAATGGAACGGTTGTACCATAGCAACGGTCAAATCATCGAACGGTAACATCTGGCGACTGCGTACACGCGGGGTACGTCTTATTGCAAGTAGCAAGAAAACTTAAGGATACTCACGTTTTTCTCTTACTATAGCTTTACTCTATTCCGCGACTTCATAATCGCAAATCATAGAGTACTTCTCTTTCTCGTTTTACGGTTGATGCTGTTACGCAAGAGACGACCGAGAGAAATAAATCTATCCCAGCGGTCTTGCTCGATCCAACAGAGAGAGAGAGAGAGAGAGAGAGAGAGACGCGGATTCGAGCTTTACGGTGTTGGGTCGTCGCGGCTCGGAGAATAGTGCAGAGGAAAAAGACGGAGAATGGATCTAAGTGAGAGGAAGATAGAGAAGGAGGAAGAAGAAGAAGAAGAAGCAGCAGCAGCAGCAGCAGCAGAAGAGAAGGTTGAGGAGAGGGTTCAGCGTGGGTTGAAAATAGCCTGTGGCCGGGCGGAGTATGCAGAAACCGTCCGCTATGCACTTGCCATTCGATATTTATATCCTTATAGGTAGATACGTTGCAAGTTTTTCTTCTCTCTCTCTCTCTCTCTTTTTTTTCTCTCTTTTACCTACGGCACGAGCTAAGATACAAAAGTACGAGCTTGCTTCGGAAGATATACTGGCTGCAAGGGACGATATCTGGCTGAGTGTGAGAGAAAGAGAAAGAGACAGAGAAAGATTCCCTTCGAAACAATACGCTTTACGAGCTACGCTAAGCGGGAAGAGGTTATCGAGAGGGAAAAAGAGAAAGAGAGAGAGAGAGAGAGAGAGAGAGAGAGAGAGAGAGAGAGAGAGAGAGAGAGAGAGAGAGATAGATGGTCGAGACTATCCTTCGTGATTCTCTTCGTCGAACTCGCGAGAGAAAAGAGGAGCTCGATGACCCCGATAAGTAAGAACGTCTCACGAAGCATAGTCGCTCTCGAGTCGTTCGGTTCGTCGTTTCTGCCACCGTCTTTTGCTACTTCGAGGAAAGAAAGAAAGAAAGAGAGAGAAATAGTGATATATAATATGGAGGAACGGGAAAAGGAAGGGAAAAGAAGGGGGTATATTTGAAGCGCCGGTGCATCCCAGTCGCATCCCAACTGCTTCTCAAGCGCGTTCCGTCACCGGGTCACACTGCGTTTCTCGAATCTCGATTCGAGACTCCTCTCTTGGTTCCTGACCTCGATAAACGAGTCTGCCGTGCGTTCGTCCAAACTCGTATCTTAGTATTAGCGTGTCTTCCTTCATTTTATCTTTACACAGTCGGGTAAATGATTTCGAGGAATTAAAATGGTACATTTTATAGGAAATTCGAGAATGAGGAAGAGGAGGAGAGGAAAGTTTTTATTTCAATTATTTAAAAGGCCATTGTTGTTAATCACGGTCTTTTTCTGTCAAGAAATATATTTTCTATTATTAAGTAAAATCACGTGCGAAAGCATTTCATTCGTTTTAATTGTCGTCAT